AAAAAGACCCTAAAATAACATATAGTGAAAACTGGGATATTAGGATAAATGTGCAGCCTCAATAAAAGGTCTCTGGGAGCTTAGCTGTGCGACTCAGGATGTCGGAGTGCATACAGCTTCTAGAGCTGCTATACCAACACTGGGCATTGTTTTTGCTTTAGTCAAAAATCCTCATCAGGTTTCTTTGAGTTAGAGAAAAAGGTAATGTCAGTCATTACTAAAAACATGGGGGTATAGAGCTAAAAAGCAGAGGAAACCTGCACTTGGTTTTATAACAAAGAGCAATCCCATCTAGCTCTTCACAAACTGACTAGAGAATAGACATTGCAAATTGACATCATTTCAAAAGTAAGTTAATTATAACTACTGTCATTGGCAGAGTGTCCCTCTCTTTGTATGTACTGGGTGCTTTAATCCTAGGATTGCTGGGGATTGATGGGTTGCTACCACAGAGCAATTGAAAGCTGAAAGCAGGGATGACATCAGCACATGCATTACTAAAAAGATCAGTCTTCTCTCTTTATCTTTCTGAGTAGATTGGATTCACTTGCTGCACATGTATGTGGTTACATTCCTATAGAACATTTAACTTCTTTTCATATGAATATTCGTATTTGTTATATTTATTTTTTTCATGGACATAGCCAAATTTATTTTTGGTTGCAGTCATAACAAATATAGAAATAACATTTGAGGTAGGTGTTTCATTAGTATAAACAGACTTAATAAATACTTTAAAATAAAATTTAATGGCCCTCCCTGGCGGCGCAGGGGGTTAAAGCACAGCACTGAGAAGCTAAAGCCACTTCTGCATGAGTTCGATCCCTGCCTGCCCCGAGGAGACCACATGGCATGGCAGACCTCTCCTGACCCGCCCGCTGCTCCCCTCAGCAGTGTACTTCGTTGATCTGCCTGTTCTGCTCTCCACTCTGTCTCTGGTGAAGCCTCTCGCTGCCCTGCACCTCTGGCCTGTACCCCAGTTCTGTATGCATAAATAATCTTTAAAAAAATAAAATTTAAAATAAATCAGGTTTAAGTTCAGGATATTGTGATGTAAACAAATATGTTCTGTAGGTATTAGGTATTAAAGAAAATTTTTTATACTTTGATTTGAGGTTCTATTATGTTACTCATTTGAACATCTAAATTAAAAGCTGAATTGCAAATTTATAAAATTAATAATACTAATCAATGATAAATTCATAAGGAAAACATACTAGGCATCATTTTATAAGAATGTACCTATATGGTATCATTTTTTTAATAGAAATAAATGAAATACTTATTCCTGCAAAAAAAGCAGTGCTTATTACGATAGCCATTTTACCAAAAGCAATACATAGATCCAATGCAATCTCTATCAAAATTTCAATGGCATTCTTCAAAGAAATAGAGAAAATATCACTGAAATTTAATTCACATGGAACCACAGAAGACTCTGAATAACCAAAGCAATACAGACCAAAGAAGAAGAAAACCAAGTCCCAAAGTTATTGTAATCAAAACAGCATGGTGTTGGAAAAAATAGACACAAACAATTAAACAAACAAAGAACACAGAAATAAGCCCACATTTACATGGACAGTTAATCTGCAACAAATGAGCTGAGAGCATACAATGGAGGAAGGAAAGTTTCTTCAACAAATTGTTCTGGGAAGACTGTACAAACAAATGCTAAAGAATTAAACTAGACCACTATCTCACATCATTACAAAAATTTACTCTAGGTGGATGAAAGACTTGGATATGTATGCCCTGAAATTATAAGATATAGAGAAGTAAACAGGTAAAATGATCTGTGATATTAACTTTAGTGATATCTTTGGAGACTTGACTATAATGGCAAGAGAAACAAGCAAAATGAAACAATTGGGACTACATCAAGCTAAAAGCTTCTGGACAGTGAAAGGAATTCTGAATGGGTGAAAATATTTGTATATCATACATCCAAAAGGGGACTAATATCCAGGGTATACAAAATAACTTATACAACTCAACAAAAAGAAAACACCCAATAAAATAATAGAAGAACTAAATAGGCATTTCTCCAAAGAAGACATACAGATGGCTAACAGGCACATCAAAAATATGCTCAGAGAAATGCAAATCAAAACCACAATGAGATAACACCTCACACCTGTGAGAATGGCCATATGAAAAAATCCAGAAATATCAGATGCTGGTGAGGGTGTGGAGAAATAGGTCTCTTTCTACACTGTTAATGGAAATGTAGACTGTTCCAGGCCCTAGGAAAAAAGTATGAGTTTTTCTCAAAATATTAAAAATAGATCTACCACATGGTCCACCAATTTCACTTCCTAGGTATTAGGTCAAAAAAACAGTAGTTTGAAGGGTTACATGTATACTCCTATGTTCACTGCAGCACTACTTATGGTCCACAAGTTATGGAAATAACCTGTGTCCAAGGAACAGATAAAAGATGATGCCCTATACATACCTACAGTGAGCCACTGTTTAGTTACCAAAAAAAAAAAAAAAGAAATCCTGCAATTTATGACAAATTGGTTGGAAATGGAGGGAATTATGCTAAACCAAATAAATGATAAGTAGACAAATACTGAATGACCTTACCCATCTATGGAATATAAAAAAACAAAACCAAAGGACAAGGCAAAACTGAGCCAAAACAAACCTTAGAAATTAGACTGAAAAGTCGAGACTACCAGAGGGAGTGGAGTATGGAGGGGTCCAGCGGACCACGCTTGCGCATTCCAGGTGCACACACAGTTGGTGTGGTGGCTTACAGACATGCGCAGAGGTGTGAATCTATACCCCTAGGTCATCCTGTGTTGTCAACCAACAGTATCGCAACACAAATGATATAGTAATAATTTTAAAAAGGTGACATTTAGACAGACTTCAGGTACAGAGTCTTGCAAACTTATACAGAATAAAACAGGTGTTTAGATTAAAAGGGGAAATTTTAAAAATCTGTGTGTGGGGGTTGAGGGCACTGGCAGTGGATCAAGAACAAGCATCCTCTAAAGGAAAGTGGCATTTTCTGGGCTTTCAGATGAACTAAGGAGGACACATTCTTGTTGAGCCCTGCACTGGAGCAACACCAGTATTAATTATGCAAACAGTTTTTTTGGATGGGTAAATGAATTTGAGAATGACTCAGCAGGAGATTTCCAAACCAAATACCTCTACCTCTTTATTGAACATGTTGTTTTCAAATCTGCTGTGCCATGACCCAGAGGTTAAAAATTGGAGATCTATAGAAGGGAGTTTCCATCTCTGGAGTAGTCTCGGAGGAAGCCCCACTGATGCCAGGACAGTAGAATCAGCCAGTTCTACCTATTCCACCCATCCTTGCACTTGTGGTTTCAGTTGGGAATAGCTGATACACCTTCATGATTAGTTTCTAATTTTTCTTTAACAAACAAAAATCCCCTATGCAGACTGGACCTCTCTGCAAAGGTGTGAGTGTGTGGTGTGGGGTGTGGGGTGTGGGGTGTGTATGCCCCTTCATATGGCTCTCTAGATGAGACCATATGTTGACAGTAAGTTGGAAAGGTGGGGACTTAAATAAAGATGTAAAGGCCACACGATTTATTTTACAAGTCCCTGTTAAAGTGACAGTGCAAGACTTAATTGGAAATGGGAAGGATCCCAGCCACCAGCCTTTTGCAAAATTGGGGGAGGAGAAGTCCTCTCACCTATTTTGGAAACTGCTTGCAGATGTGAGGAAACCTCTGAATTGCTCACAACAGGGGTTTTGCAGAGATTTCCTCTGATTTTTTTCTCCCCAACTTCCCACAACCTGTGTTTGTCTTGAGTCTACTAGGCTGACATGTGGTTTACCTCGGCGATGGGGCTGCCAGGTTTTGCATACTCTCCTCTCAAGAAGGGAAACAACTGAAGCCCACGGATCCCGAGCAACTCTGGGCATGGGCGCCAGAACTGTCACAGAAAATTTGCTTCCCGAGTATTCCTTCCAACTTCCCTTCCTGCGCCCACGTGAGCCGTAGCGCCAGCCCATCAGCAAGGTCTTAACGTTTCCTGCTGCTGCAATCTGTAACTTGATTTTGGATTAAAAAAAAAAAAAAAAAA